TATTTTACTGGCTAGTTGACCTATTGAATAATTTCGAAAATGATTAAAAAATAATAATTATTATTATTAGAATCAAGAAATCCCAAGAGCTCAAGGCCCTAATCAAAAACATTTTAATATAATGCGTGAGGTGTGACTCGAACCCCCGACCTCCCACTCAAATCCCACATTTTCACCAATTGGGCACTTCATCTGAATTGATTATTTCTTTCACATATTATATTTATTGTATAAATATATAACAAACCATTCTTTCAAAATTCTTTTTTCTCGTACTTATTTCTACCACACATTCTCATAATAAAATATTTTTCACGTAAACTCAAAATTTTTCCCTACTTTTTAACTACACATTCTCCAAAAATTTACTATTCAAAAACTCATTCTTTTTAAACAAAATTCTGTCAAACGGGGCATCACTGCAAAGTGATATGATTAGAACTATGAAATTTTGGATTGGCTCTATTGCATTTGTGATACTATATTGAGTGTCGGGGTTTTAAATTTTGCATAAATTTGATGATAGAATATTGTTGGAGGAAAATTATTTTTCTTTTTGTAGCGTTTAATATGGTCTCTTGAATTAACTCTACATATTTTCAATATAAAAACAATCTTAGGAATATAATTTAAATAAGTATCAATTTATTTACGAAAACTGCAAACGCTTGTATTATATTGATTAGTTACAGACCAAAGATCTTTAGTGTCCATGATATCATCGAAAGGTAAGCTTTTTTTATTTCATGTATTTTGTAGTATTTTTCTACTTCACTTAGGACTAGTTTAAACCATATATCAGGGCTTACGCAATGTAATTCACACAATTTTAATAATGAAATAAAGATATTTTCTCTTTATTAAATTCTTGTTCCATCTATCTAATTATTTTCCCTGCTAGCAACTTCATATGACTTGGCAGCAGAAATGACGAGGATTAAATGAGTGATAAGGAGACTACAAAATCTTGGAGTGATTATTGGGATCAACAAATTCAAACCAAAGTATAGTCCAACGGGATGAGAAGATCTAGCAAGAACTAACAACACATTTTTGAAAAATAATGTAATAAATTAAATTCAAGTCCAAGTGCATTGATATAATCTATCAAATAATAGGGTCCTACAAAAATGCAAAGTTATGGATTTGTTATCTATTTGATAGTTGTTATCTATTTTTTGGATAAACACTAGTCACAAAATAGTGAAGAGTGATTAATCTTATTTTATTTTAAATTGGAACCAATGTGACTAGGTGGTCATTGCCCATGGCTATCATTCAATAAAGCTATAAACATTCTTTTATTCATTTTTTTGCTTCTTTTTCCTATTTTCTTCACTCCCTCCTATATCCTCCCTCTTCTTTTCATTTCCCCTCCTCTTCTATCTAATTGTTTGATTGCATCCTATGTTACTTATGGTATAATAAGTATTTCAATACGAGGCTGCTCTATATTGAGCAAATAATCTTCTTAACTAGGCTACTTAATTTTCTCTTATTGCATTCATGTCTACTATGCTCGTTGTATCACTGTGTAGATTAGATGCAATTGTGACAGGTGATCTAGGGATGGCAAAAAAGTCCGTTTAACCCTATATCCGTGGGGCCCTGCCCCCAAATAGGACGGGGATTACCCGCCTAATCGAGTAAACGGTGCGGGACGGGGGTCATTTCCCCGAAGTGGGTATGGGACGGACACGAGAAAAACATAGTCCCCGCCCCGTTTAAAGTTAATTTCAAATTTAAGTTTTTTATCAAACAAAAATAATATATTTATCATTATTTTTAAAGGGAATATAAGTTATTTTTAACAAATTGGTAAAAAAATAATAATATTTACTAGCTAAAGACATAAAAAAAAATAAATGCAAAAAATAAAAAATAAAAATACCCGCCCCGCCCCACCCCGCCCCGCCCCACCCCGATCCGGCTTAGTCCCGCTTTAACTGGGTATGTGGGTGAGGTAAGGTAAGATAAAAAAAATACCCGACAGGACGAGGGTGGGAATGGTCGACCCTTCCCATACCCACCCCGTTGCCATCCTGCGATCTTGGTATTAGGAAAGGCTGGTGGATCCATAACTGCTTACCGTCTTCGAAGAAAGTCAAATAAAGGGTAATTAGCACGTAACGTCAACACCTTTCATTGTTATTGTGGAAAACATCCATTCATTTCATTTTTTTGACATTTTTACCAATATTTTTACATTTCATTGAGCAAAAGATCCGTTCATTTATTTTCTCAATTAAAAATTGTGAAATGACGAAAATACCACTCTTTAAATAAAACAAAAAAAAAATTTAATTGCAATCACAGTCTCAAAATTTTTTAAAAAAACGCAAATGAGTTTCAAATAAATTGTTAAAAAGGTAATTAATATATAATGTCCCTACCTTTCACTGTTATTGCGAAAAACGTTCTTACCTTTTTTTTTTTTACCCTTAATTACATTTTTTTTATTGCAAACCATCATTTTCATCCAAAGTAACTAGCACGTAATGTCCTCACCTTTCATGTTATTGTGGAAAACATATCTACCTGTCATTTTTTTGGTGTTTTTAGCTTTATTTTCATCTTTCATTGCGCAAAGGTACTTTTCATTTATTTCCTCAATTAAAAATTGTGAAATGAATAAAATACCATTCTCTTTAAATACAAAAATAAAAAGAAAAAATTAACTCCAATCATAGTCTTAATTTTTTTCTTAAAAAAGTGTAAATGAGTTCCAAATAAATTATTAAAAAGGTAATTAGTACATAATGTCCCCATCTTTCACTATTATTGCGAAAAACGTTCACACCTTTCATTTTTTTGACATTTTCACCATTAATTACAGCAAACCATCATTTTTATCCAATTTCTCAATAAAGAACTGTGAAATAATGAATATACCCTCTTATTTAAATAAAAAATATTTTTTTATTTTCTAATTCTTTAATAATTTATTTGAGACTCGTTTGCAATTTTTAATTTTTTAAATTTTTAAATAAATTTAATTAAGAATTGTTTGCACTTTTAAAAAAAAAATTAATTTTTTAATAATTTGTTGGGGACTCAGTTGTATTTTTTAAAAAAAATTGGGACTATGATTGTAATTAATTGTTTATATTTTTTATTTAGATAAGATATTATATTCGTCATTTTACAACTTTTTTTTGAGAAATTGGATAAAAATAAATAGAAAGATGGTTTGCGCAGTCAAATGTGTAGGGTGGAAATGTTAAAAAAAAAAAGGAAAAAAAAAAAGAGGTAGGGACGTTTTCGCAATAATAGTGAAAGGTATGGACATTATGTGTTAATTACCTTTTTAATAATTTATTTGAGAATCACTTTTTTAAAAAATTAGGATTGCGGTTGCAATTAATTTTTTACTTTTTCCTTTTGTTTTATTTAAAGAAAAAGGTATATTCGTCATTTTACAATTTTTAATATAGAAAATGGATGAAAATGACATTTTGCACAATGAAAGTTGGAAATAAGGATGAAAATACCAAAAAATGAAAGGTAACCACGTTTTCCACAATAACAGTGAAAGGTGGACACGTGACGTGCTAATTACCCTATAATAAAATAAAACGAAAGG